CATCTTGTCCCTCAGGTCAAATGTCCCAAGACTTAGTCACAAATTATCACAGGGAATGTAATCACTCTGAGTGTGCAGAAGATTGATTCACATTTTAGGCCAAGGAGCAAGGCTTCACCTTAAGAGTAATTTTCCATTTCAGTCTCAGTCACCAAGCAAGAGGAATTGGTTAGAGGGAAACAGTTTGGTTTTGTGAAGAAGCCATGGGGGAAGCAAGCCTTTGCCATTATTCTAGGACACACACCATTTTTGCCTCAAGCAACAGTCCTGGGAACGGTGACCTCAAGTCTGTCTTGACTCTATCAGTTAATATCGTCAGGCTCTGGGCTCTTCTCTGGCAATTACATTTGCCGAAACTTTCCAAGTAACTTTCCTTCTAGAAGATTTGGGTTTACAGTTTTGTGGTTAAGCGGTATTGACAGGAGAAAACATCACTAAGATGCTAGAACAGAGGTTAATCCTTTCCTATCAAATCAATGGGAAAACAAAGAGATTGTATTTTGTTAAACAAATCATAAGATGTCCAGAAAAGATTTTGTGAAGTTTCTGCTTTTCTTTATTGACAAAGATTGTTTATGAGAATTCAGACTCATTTATACTTACAATGGGGCCACATCCTGAAACATCCACTGTAAGTTGAGAATATCTTAAGCCACAAGTGCATGCCCAACACCTAATCTAGTGATGCTCCAAACTCAGCACACTGGGCAGCATAGCTTGTGCTCACTGTGATCTTGTGCGGACAGTGCCTGGTTGCCACAGCCACCATGGGAGAGGATTATACTACAAACTGCAAGGCTACAGCAGAATGAGGTCCACAGTTCCTCAGTACCAGGAAGCTGAAAACTGAGGTTGAAATATTGTGAGCTGGGCCCATCTGTGTTGCTGTTTGTTGGTGAAGGTGGTTCTGGACTGTGACTGAAAAGATCTCCTTGCACTGAAAAAGCCCAGGAGTCTAATCCACGCTTTACCTGACCCTTGGAATGTGTGGTCAGTGCAGCCAGGTTAGATCAAGGCCACTGCCTTCATCTCCATCAGGAAGGCATCAGGATCCCCTCTGCCAACAGGAAAACCCAGTGATAGGGAGATATGAGCACTTCCCTATGAGGGAGGCACCAATCAAGACTAGCTTCCCTGTCTTAGCATTTCTTGATAAGGTAACAAATGTGGTTTGATAAGAATACAAAGCTACCCATGGAACTCTAAGTGATGTTTTTATCTAGCCTCTCAATTCATGGTTCTTTTGTCTTTAATATTGGTTTTACTTTAGTTTTTCACTGCTGGTATGTGATATATCTATATAGTCATTGGCCTTTGTTTTACCCATGGCTTCATTTATGACTCATTCTCACTAACTCTATTCAGAAAACATTCAGGCACGTAAGCGAGAGCCCCACACCAAGCATGTCACCTTCAGGACCATGCGATATAGTCAAACATCTTACATGAGAAACACTTGGGAACCGCCTTTGCCATCACACATGTGGACACCTTCATACAAAGGTTGTTCTTGACTGAGAAAAAGAAAAAGGTTGCAGTTGGTTTGTGCACAGTTTAGCGACTGGTTCTGTTCTTCTCAATCACAGTGGAACTAAGCCTTAGTGTCATCAGATAGCCGTGAACTTTCCCATGGAACAGCCCTTCCCCAGCCCTAGGGATGGAGCATAGCGCTCAGGATGTGGCAGTGGCTCAAATGCTAATTGTCGAGGACACATCGTGATGTGCATCTATCCATATTCAAAAAGGAAGACCCTGTCAGCCCCTCTGCTAGGAACCTACTGTCTCTTCAAGAACAAAGTGCAAAAGGATTCAAAACCCACCAGTCATCCTGGTTGGGTCTCAGTGGGAACCTTGAGCTAGCTTCCTACTGGATGTCCATGGGAACCAGCCCCTTTTCCAGTTCCAAAGAACAGGATGGAAGAAAGACGACAACATTGAAAGGCAAGCTAATGCCCGAAGGAAGAGCCTCGTAGCAGGAAAGTTCAACCCACTAAATTCAAATACCCCAGCCACTTCAGTCCAGCTGAAGTCTTGAGAATTTTGAAGCCCATCCATTAGAAAGTCAGTTTGAGCTGATTTCTTTTACCTGTGATTAGCTAAAAGGCCTTGTCTGTTCATGACTGGGAGGGGATGGGTTGGGGCAGCAAGCACTCTATACTTAGGAAATCAGGTCCCCAGGCGATGCATCGAGCTCCTCCATCATAGGCTCCTGGCTTATCAAGGGCACTGTGTACATCTACCCTGGATTCTCAGCTCAGGGGTTTTTGTAAGCAGACATGGGAGAGTTCAGGCTGGGGTCAGGCCTTCGTGCAGGCCCTGGCAAAATTCCTGGGCTTGATGTTGGTTTATCTCTCTGTATGGCGTTTCTCTTTGATACTCACCCTGAAGGATGATAAGACATTCCTCCCACCGTCTTTCCTCAGAGCTGGGCACAGATGAAAGTTACCTTCCTATCTGCACCAACAAGATTAGCAAATCCACTTGACTGGGGTCACCGAGATGTCACATGACCTAGGACCTTCATAGACGTTCTCTGCTGAGTCTCATTCAAATATATGGCTTCACCTTCAATCAGAAGTGTCTTTTTTCCATACTCTGGCTGTCATTTACTTTCTATATCAGCTTTTATAACTGATCTATATGCAGGCCCTGGCTAGGTGCCCCACCTCGATTGTGACTAACATGGCCATGGTTACCTGTGACATTCGTATGTTTAATATTGAAATGTATACATACCAAATAAAGGTTCCCTGGGTTGGGGGAAATGTGCAGCTGACCCATTGTCAACATTCTGTGTCTATGCAGTCTAGAACATCAAATCCTATTCAGCCAATAATTACGTGTGCATGAACATTACACAGATTTTCAGTAAACCAATACACGCTGATGTGATCTTACACTCACAGACTCCAGTGGTGAAGATTCAAAAAAAAAATCAAAACAAAGCCAACACCCTGCCTTGTGCTTTAAGATTAAAGTACGACATTTGGCAGTTGCTCAGACAAGCACACAGGAAGATAAAGCTAATGGTTGCTTGCCTTCCTCTGAAAGTTTGTCAGGGGTCGGCATGCCAGCAATTAGAAGCAAGCATAGTAAGCTCAAAGTCCTGGTGAGACCATTACCCCCAAAGAAGCTCCCCACGTGATTTTCCTTCCATGGGAGTCTTACTTCCACAGCCATAGAAACTCAGACTCCTCGGTGAACCACACAGATGGAGCCCAGCACTGGGTAGGTAGAGAAGGGAGGGTGGGGGAAGGGACTGCTGTGGAAGAGGGTGGAGCATCTCCCTAGGCTAAAATGAATGCTTTTGTCCTAGCTCGAGCTATCTGACAGTGAGCGGCTGCGTCCCACATAGTAGAGGGCTTCAAAAGCTGTGCTAAGACCTTCTTTAGTGTTCTACTGAACTGACCAACAGGGAGGGTTGGGTGTGGCTGGGCTTAACCCATCAAATGCAGAATGATGCAACTTCATTCAGGTCTGCTTACCTTCCATTTAAATGAGGCTTCTATTGATTACTGTTGTTGTTATCGTGTGTGTGTGTGTGTGTGTGTGTGTGTGTGTGTGTGTGTGTGTGTGTATGCATGAGCACATGCTTGCTATAGTGGGCATGTGGAGGTCAGCAGTCAGTTCTGTCCTTCCCCGTGTGGGACTGAACTCTGTCATCAGGCTTGGCAGCAAGCGCTTTTGCCTCCTCTGCCATCTTCATGACCCCCAAATGAGGTTGCTAATGCTTATATTTATCAATGGAAATCAATACTAAATAGCAACCGCTTGCCTCCTGTGGAGGTTTTATTCCCAACTTCAGTGACTACAGGAAGCAAATCCAAGATGGCGGGAGATGAAACTATATCAGACACACTGAAGCAAAGAGCAGAAATCAGTTAAGGTTTAGAGCTGTGTCACCCGCGGACACTCATGACAAGGTTGTTCTCTGAAAATGGCCAGCCCTGCTGGCAACGGGAAACCTGAAATGTGGCTGTTCTCTTTAAGTTAGTTTAATGTCATCCAATTGTGATTTAAATATGGGCAGACTTGGGTGTCTAGTGTATTTTGTGTGAGACAATGTTGTTCCAGAGGGCACAGCCTCCCGAGATGAACTCACTCTAGTGGTAGCTCCTCCCATTTCTCTCTGGAACAACGTGATGCATGCTGATTCTAAACAAACCTTTTAAACATTCATTGTGTGTGTGGTGTGTGTGTGTGGTGTACACTTGTATGTGCATGTGTCTTAGTGTGCATACTATGGCAGTTGGTTCTCTATTTCCACCATGTGTGTTTTGGGGATTGAACTCGGGTCATGTTCAAACATTGCGGCAAGCGCCTTTACCACCCGAGCCATCTCTCTGGCCCTGAAATTCTGTTGTTTTTTTTTTTAATTTAATTTTGCATTTGTAATCAATCTGGGTTTGCTTTCACAAAGTCCCGAATAGCGTGTCCTTCTCATGCGTTCTAAATGACATGCTCCTGTAGACCAAGCTGTCTACCCACCCGGGAAGGCATGCGCAGATGTCTGCCTTGTCCCATGGGCTGTTCTATGAGGCTGGGACTCACAGCCATGGTTCTGTTCTCTCATCGGGTCAAACTGAGCTGCCATGTTTCTATGCAAAGCAACTTGTAGGAATTAAAATAGATGTTTTCCAGCTCAGATTTACCTAGTCTACATTCCCCCGATAGCATCACGGTTGGTGCCGCTTGTGAGTGGGCTCTCATCAAGGCTTTGAGTGGTCACTTTGGAGGTCATTTGCCTGCCTGTTCTTCCTCATTCTTTCCCATCGCACTCAGTACCCCACTGACTGTCACAGGCTGATGCCCTCTGTGACAGAGACCAGCAAATCACCCCTGTTTCTGGACACAGCAGCCTATGGTTGGAAAGCTCAAAAAGACTCAACAATTTAGTGGGACATACAAAACGTCATGCACCCATTAGCACTGAGGCAAAGAAGATGTACAGTGTGTGTCAGTGATCCTGTAACCATTATACCCCGGGGCCCCATGCTCACCTGTCCCCCGGGAGTGGCTGAAGTCACCCTTCACCACACGACAGGTCTTGCCATCCCCGCTGCAGACGCCACACCTGTCTTCTTTGGCTGCAGACCCGATGATGCCATCACAGCCGATTTTCTAGAAAACCAAAGAGCTGGGTTCGCCTGTGTTGTAAGATTCAGTGATATTTTCAAGCGGGTGCCCTGCGGGACCTGTGGGACAGATTTCTCTAAGAGGCACGGTGCCTGGGGGTTCTGGCACATTTTAATTGCCATTAAATTCAGAAGAGAAAACAAGAACAACAACAACAACCAGAATTCAGATCAGATATTTGTCTCTACCTTTTCATGAATTTATCGAATGTATTTAAAACCATGTATTATGGAATAAAGGAGTCCTGCTACCCTAAAGCACATATAGAAATATCATCTGCATGTCAGGCTTGCAAGGATATCCATGTCAGAATAGCAACAAATCAGAGGCCTGAAAGGCAACAGTCAAAGTCTTGGCTCCCAGGGCACATTCTGTCTTTGCTCAAGCCGGTAGAAAAAGGTCTATAATGTATTTGATAGGGATGGACACTTTTCTTTTGAAATGGAAGCTACCACAAAGCACAACTGAAGCCATGGCTTCTGAGTGTTGGCTGGGTTTTCACAACTGCATTTATGAGCCTCAGAGTTTCAAGAGAACAAGATGACTGAACCCAAGGAAACTCCAAAGAGTAAGCACTCCAAAGTCTTCCTGCAGCATCCCGATGATCCCGGGATACTCTTTCCATTTTCAGCCCCGTGACTTTGCCCTTACATCATCTTCAGGACACCCACTTCTGAGCTCTCCGATTCCTGGCCAACAGGTGCTGGTCAGGGTGCTGTTCTGCTGGAGAAGTTAGGGCACGTGACACCCAAGGTCAGGAATGCCTTGTGGCACGGAACTGGCAAGCTAGGCACGATTCCCTTGGTCAAGGCAGTTCCTGTGCCTCGTGCAGATGGAAGTCAGAAGAGATCTAGTTCAGAGCCATGTGCTGGAGTGGGCCATGGTTAAGTCATGTGCAGAAGCCATATTTTGCCCAGGAATGATAAGTATTGGTCTCTATTGATTCAAATCCTGGCTTCCATGCCTAGAATTTCTAACCTATTGCCCTCAGCAAAAAGCCTCCGGTCATGGTGCCTAGTGGTCAAGGCTCCGTCCTCCTCCTATTCGACCTCTGTGGCACTTGTCACAGTGTAACACCCACACTATCTTCAGTTCATGTATACGTGTTTCTCTGCATTCACTGGGCATTGCCTTCAGACATGGGAAGACCCAGGGATGCTCAAGTCCTTTATAGAAAATGATGTAGCATTTGCACAGAACCTACACACATTCCCTCATATGCTTTCAATTGTCTCTGGGGTAAAAATGATAATTAATATAATGGAAATGCTATGTAAACAATTTTATGTTTTTTATAGTTCGATAATAATAAGTTGATATTTATTAATGATGACAAGAAAAAAGCTTGCATATGTTCAGGAAAATGCAATTTTTTTCCAGAAATATTTTGCATCTAGAGTTAGTCAAATCTATAGACCGAATGACTGTTTTACTCATACTCCCCCCGCCATTTCCCCTAGGTCCACCCCCATATCCTTACTCCAGTCCAACTTCCCATCTCTTTTCTTTCCCTTACAAAAATACCCCACGAGGTCAAATTTTTGCTGTCTGAATACTCATGGGTGCAATGCCATCCACTGGAGCTCGGCCACATCTTTAGAGAATAGTGATTCTCCATCCCCCAGATCATTGACGGTCAATAGCTCCTCAGTTAGGTATGGGAGCCTCATGAATCCCTCCTACCTCCATGCTATAATATTCACTGGCTTGATCTTATGCAGGTCTTGTATGGCCAATCACAGATGCTTGAGTTTGAGTGTAGTGGTCTGTCTCTTCCAGAAGATACTGTTTTGCAACATCCTCCCCAATATTTGACTCTTACAATCTTTCTGCAATACTTCCTGGACCATCAAGGGCATTATAGAGACATCCCATTTGTGGCTAATAACTCTACAGAGTTCTTATTCCCTTCCCTTTGAGTTTCTGCATTAATCACATCCCACTGCGCAAAGAACAGTCTCTGATGAGAACCAAGCATCATATGAACATACGGTCATGGACATACGGTCATGAATTCAGAAGACAGCTTGACATTCTGTTCATTTAGCAAAATAATAGTAGCAGGTCCACTTCTGAGACCTGTGAGTTTCCCAGCCACAGGTTTTTGGCCAGATTTGTAGTACCAGGTATGTGTTTTCTCCTGTGGAGTGGTTCTTAAATCCAACCAGAAAGTGGCTGGTTCCTCCTATAATATTCATTCCTCTGTTGTATCTGTGCCCCACCTTTCCATGCTGGTCATTATTGTAGTACACAGGATTCACATCTGGACAAGAATCTGAGAGATCCATCGTCACAGCACACGGAACATTCTCAGGTTGAAAAGCCTGAGATTAAATCCAGTTTCATGGATGTGCCCATTGGCAAAGACCATGAGGAGCTGAAGTTATATTCAGCCTGAACGCAAGCCTCACTGGCTGAAGAATCTCAACATTCTTACAAGAACATTCTTGCTGGCAAGAACACCAAAGCAGATGCCTGCAAGAGGCTGGGGTGGCTCAGCTGGCACTGCCCTAAAGGGCACAAGAGCTTTGACTCGTAAAGCTGCTAGCAAAAGAATTACATCATTGTTTTGAAATGTGCCAACTTGCAGGATGATCCAGGCAAGCATGTAATTTAGGAAGGAAACAAACCCTGCATTTGGCTTGCGAAAGCAAGCTTCCTGAGAACTGTCAGCAATGGCTTGTTTCAGTAATAATGATAAGGGCTTTCTTCATACTGTCCAAGAACAGGGCCTGGAACATTCTTTGCTACATGAAAGTATCCCCAAAGGTCCTGCTCAAGTACTCCTTGGTGCCCTTTTCCCTTGGAGGTGTCCTTGCCAAAACACATGGGCACTCAAAATATTTCTGTTTGATACCAAAGCCAGGCACTACCAGAGGAGCTGGGGTCTTGTTAAACGTCTCCTTGGAAAATTAACCAGTCTGTGACTGACTTGGGATATGCAGGGAGAAAACACACTTAGGTTGAAATGGTTTGCTGCAGGAGCCAGCTGAGGCATTGAGTGGGCATCTGTTATCTTCCTCAACGGTTCTTGAAGGGCTGACTAGATGAAGATACAGTGAAGGTACAGGGTGACTGGCTGAGGAAGGAGGCTCCCTGGAAACAGTGGATTGAAAACTTGTATTCTCCCAATCCCTATCACCTCGAAGGTGATAGTTTTAGAAAATAGATCTGCTCCCAAAGGGAAAATGTGACTACGTCCAGATGGCAGAATCCTTGTAGATGGGATTAGTATCTTCCTAAAAGACGTCTCAGAGAGTAGTTTCACCCCCTCCGTCGTGTGAGGACAAGAAGAAACCATTCATGAGAAGTATGCCGTCACCAGAAGCCATATCTGCCCCAATATGTGACCCTGCAGTTCTATACCTCCAGAACTGTGGGAAATATTTCCATTGTTAGAAGCCAGCGTATGCTTTTCACCCCAGTGGCTTGAGTAGAATTAGTCACCAGGATTCTTGCACGTGCTCAGGTTGAGCTGAGTCATCAGGAGATGACTGCTAAAGGCAGAGGTTGCTTCACCTGATCTGCATCCCACTGGTCACTGAAAAGGCACAGTGTCTCTATCCTTCCTTTCTAGATCACACACCAGTAGATGCTCCTTCGGATGGGTAGAGATTGACCACAAAGCGCTTCTTTCTCCCTTCCTCCTTGCTTTGTCTATTTGTCAGTCTCCTAACAAACCATGAGTTGGAGATCTATGTCCCAGAGGGTAGAGGGTAGAGGGATCCGCCGAGGTCAGACACATCCACCTCCCTGGACACCGTTGGCATAGGGGCTTGCTTAGTTCCACCATGCATTAGTAAGTAAAGAGAACAAGCTATTGACTCATCCTGCAGTCCAATCTCACACTCACTGGCTCTTTGTATGAATCATAATATCTAGAGGAATTTTCAAATTGTTTCAGGAGGCTGCTGGTTAAGCCTGCCACATTCGTGATGCTCAGTCACTGCCAAGGTCAGGGCATACACTGGTAGCCACTGGCCACAGGAGCAGCATGAACCTCTTTGGGAAAACCCACTCCCCCTGACCCTCAAAGGCCTCAGCTCCACCATGGGCCCACTCTGGGGGAAGAAGGACCCTTTCTTCACAGCCCCGCCAAGGACAGTAGGAAACGCAAGTCACCTGGCATCTGCTGTACACGCAGAGGTCAGTCTCGTAGGGCCCACAGGGCGTGCCATCCAGGACCCTGTCAGCCACCAGCAGGGGGGACTCCTTCCCGAGAGGCGAGCAGTAGAGTTCACACGGCTTATCTGAGGAGGGAAAGGGTGGTGGCTGTTGATTGGGAAGTGGCATGCCGTTGATATGGTGAACATGCACATGGGAGCAATGGCCCTAAGGGCAGAACCATTAGTGCCGGTAAAGGTCTCAGTAACTTCGCCTGTTCTTAGGTACAAGCACTTGCTCCTGGGGACATTTAAGACAGCCCCCAGAACAAGATCCCCAGCCTCAGGAAACAACAGCTCTGCAGGTGCCCACACCAAGTTTTTCTGCCTTGGTCTCTGCTGTTCCCTCTTCCTGGGCCTCTCTCTTTCTGCTCAGCTCTTTAGGAGGCTGCTAGCAACGTAGACGCTTCCAACCCAGAGCTCTCTCTTCTACCCCGACACAGGACAGGACAGGCATGTGTGCTTGGCACACACATCCAGTCAAGCCCAGGTCATTGACCTGGTGTCCTGAAATTGTCTGAGTAAATCCTAGATGTGAAGAGATTTCTTACAGGCAGGTTCCATTCATTAATAATGAAATACTAAAGGCTCCAAGGTCCAAAAAAACTTTAAATTCCAAAACCTTCTGAATTTTTACATGACACTACAAACGGAAAATTCCACATCTGCCCTCATGTGATGGAAGCAGTCAAAATACAAGTACACTAAATAAAAAAATGTAAGATTATGTTCACACTATATGTATAACATGTATATAAGCCATAAGTAAAATTCATGTTTCAATTTGCGTGTCATCACAAAAAAATAGCTCATTGCGTACATGCAAATAATGCCAAATCCAACACAACCCCCGCCCCCAGCTCATCATGTACATGCGAAATACTGCTAAATCCGAAACAGCCCAGGTCGAAAGACTTCCAGTTGCAAATATTTTGGAGGAAGGGTTTTCCACCTGTACCTTCACACTGAAGTACAGGAACCCTTAGGGGACAGGGGGCATGCTTTCATCTTCTGTCCCCAGACCGGAACTAGAAGTTAAGGGTTCATGTTCCCAGGATTTAGTAAATACACTTGAACAACTGAATGGATCTCATCTCCGTAAGTGGTTGAGTGAGACTCACGCGCCTTCTTGCCTCCTCTGCCACCTAACCCTAACTCATCTGTGGAATTATTTTGAAAGGAAACCTTAACAGAGCCACAGAGCCCTTGTGCTACCTTGTTGGGCTCTTGGTCTCGGCCAGCAGCCTTCCCCACTAAGTCTTTTTTGGTGGTCTCTGGCAAGCAAGGGAGGGGTTCAGAAGTGTTTGCCATCGGAGGGTCTTGGCATCCATTGGAAAAGACTTGTCAGAGCAGACATGCTGTCTTAGCCAGTGGTCTCAAGGGTTTGGATGATTGCACAACAGCCCATGATCAACCAGCTCTGTGGGAGGGTGCCCGCGAGTATGAGGAAGTAGCTCCTGGGATTCAGGTTCAACTCGGTTCTGTCTAGTCAGAGTGAAACAACTGATTTTGAAGAGCAGACAGAGGGCTACTCTTTCCCAGGCAAGCTGCTTATTCATCAAGCATGGCTGGAGTACTGTGCCTCAAGCGCTCTTCAGGCAGCGCAAGAACAGGGCAATGCGTGACACACGCTTCTTGGGGCCCTTGTGGTCTGATGGATGGGGTGGAGTAACCCTGCATGAGACAGGTCACACGACACAAGTCTCAAGTGAGCACACGGAGAGCAGTGCCTGCTTTGGAAGGAATGTCTCGGTTCCAGGTGGGCCATGGGAAGCAGCTATCCCTTCATTGAGAGGAAGTGATCCAAGAAAGCATGGCCATGAAAGACAGAGATAGAGACTGAGGTCAACTTCTAGAAAGCTTAGCAGATGGGATTAATGGCAGGATGTCAGGGGCTTAAGGTTCCCCATGGGTGCCTTGGGGGCAGAGCATGGCACTGTAGTCTGAATGAATAGTGGGTCTACTGCACCAGTGGTACACCTATGCCACCTCTAAGGTCTTAATGTGAAGAAGCAGCTCAAAACTATGGGTCTTAATCCCTTTTTGGACTAACGTGTTGATTCAACACTGGGGGTAACAAGGTTTAAGGTGATTCACTTGATAGTTATGATAAGGATGCGATAAAGAAGAAATCATAGGCATTTATGATCTTCTCCTTGCCAAGCAAGATGCTAAGGAGTGTCGACAGTACTGAGTGCAGTGTAGGTTGCCGCTGTTCCATTGTACAGATGAGCAGGGGGCTCACAGAACAACGACATTTCCTCCAGCAGGAATAGACATGTGCTTCTCTGTTCCTTTGACCATCACTGTTTACTATGAATGAGGAACCCTTGGGGGGCCCCCCCAAAAACCAAGGGATAAAGTGGTACTGCCGAAAACAAACCACATTGTTCATAAATATTTATGGTTTAGGTTTCTAAGTGTATGCTCTGATTAGGACAGAAATGGGGATGCATTGAGGCAGCATGGCAGAAGCTGTTCTGAGGGAAGTTGGAGTCCGTGGAAAGTTCCAGCACGGAAAGGATAAAAGTTGTTTGTTTTGGTTCTTTGGTGCAAATTTCAGAGACACAGAGACTCTGGATCGGGAGAAGTAACTCGGATGGACGGATGTTGGCTGTGATCTAAGGCAAGGCATTCTGAGCTCTATCTGCCCTTGACTCTGCCAGGTGCAGATGCTGCCAGCCAGACTCAGGCAGCCAAGGGCCCCAGGGCTTCAGAACAGAGGTCAGATGTGGAGAATCCTTTACTGACCAGAACTACCTTCATTTGTCCATCTTTTCCCCCCTCTGAGGATGACACTCAGAATGTAGGGCGCCCTTACTTCTAGCAAGGAATATTTCTTCCTCCCAAAGGGATCGAGGATAGTCTTTTTTAAATCATGAGAAAGAGGTTCAGAATTCCTCAAAACTCTCTAAGAGGGCTCCTATGAGTGGGAAGTGAAAATCTCCAAGATAAAGGATCCTATTAAAAAATGTGAGGTGGTGGGTTTAAGCTCTGAGCACAGTGCAAGAGTTTTTATTATTATTATTGTTGTTGTTTTTTGTTTGTTTGTTTTTGTAGCTCTCGCTCTCCTGGAACCATGTAGACCAGGCTGGCCTCTACCTGTCTCTGTCTCCTGAGTGCTGGGATTAAAGGCGTGCACCACTATCTCCAAGGAGCATTGAAGGGAATGGAAGGCTTAAAAGTTGCATAGTCACACACAGCAAGGAAAGATGTCTGGAACACGTCCCTGCATGGATGGTGTGTCCTCAGATGAATTCTGGCTGACGAGGGCCTGTAGTTAGATGAATTCTGGTTGAGGCTTCTGTCTGGCTTCTCAGAGGCCTGCCTGTTGGGAAGGGCTTCTGACTGACCAGAGGATGCCACAGTCAGGACAAGATGGGCTCTGGGGCTTGAGGGCTGACAATTCTATGATCTTACAGAGATCTGGAATTCCTCCCGAGCTCCGCTGGGAACACGACCCACCGAGTTCTTACTGTTCTCTCTTGGACTCAGTAACAAAGTCTTACTGAGGCCGAGTCTACCTAATGTTGAGGCTGGAAGGAGTGTTCATCTGAGCTCCATCTTGTCTTCTGTCTTGGCCACTCAATCTTCTCTTTTACAAGCTACCCACCGGGACTTCATAACCAGGCTCCAGGTTCCAGCTCTAGCTGATTGGGTCAGTTAGAGTCCGTCCACCTGACTACACAAAGACCAATCAGAGTCTTCCCTCACCAGATGAGGCCAGACCCTTCAGAGGAGCCTTAGTTAACAGGAACAGCACTGCTTACGTGACCACAGCCAGACTGACCGGTCTTTTTCCTGACAACTCAGCATTGGAACTCTATGATACAGAGGGCCTAGCTCTCACGGCTGGTAGACCTAGGGAAGGTTAGGTTATCTTATTTACTATAATTCAGAAATGTGAGAAGCTCTGACAATGAGTAATTTCTTGTATGGGTGGTAAACTATCTGGCTACAAATCCAGCCTTCCCCCTGACAGGAGTGAGTGTCCCTCCTCTCCTCAGGGGTCCCTGGCAGGTTGTCATGTGTTCCCCTGGGTCCCAGTGGAGATGTTACTAAGTGGCTGTTAAACCATCACGTCCGTTCAAGCACTACCAAGCTCTGAATCCCGAGCCATAACTGGTCTCAAAGAATTCAGGTCAAATGGATTCAGACAGGATATAGATTTACTTAAGAGGAGTTGTTGGCTTCTCTGGTTGGTTGTGCGTACAGGAGTTTCGAGAGGGGCAGCCTGCAGCAGGGGCAAGGTCCTCATTGGTAAGTCCTGGAAGTCATGGAAGGCCCTAATTGTGGAGGGCCGCAACCACATTCTCCATTGCTTCAAGGGACAAAGGTAGAGATTGACCTCTGTGACCTCAAGGTGTGGTGGTACACGCCTTTAGTCCTGATGCCTGGGAGGCAGAGGCAGATTGACCTCTGTGACCTCAAGGTGTGGTAATACACACCTTTGGTCCCAATGCCTGGGAGGCAGAGACAGGCAGATCTCTGTGAGTTCAAGGTGTTGTAGCACACGCCTTTAATCCCAGCGCGTGTGCTTGGTAACTTACTACTGCTGCGTCCCTGCCTACTTCCGAGGCATCACCTGGGATAATGGGCAGCGGACCAATCCAAGAGTGACACGTCAGAAGCGAGGACTGTTTCCTTTATAAGGGCTGGGTTCCCCTCATTCTGGGTCTCAGCTTTGGAAGCTGATGCTCTCCCTCTCAAGACGCATTAAAGCTTTACTGCAGAAGAATCCTAAGTGCCCCGCGTTGTTCTTGCTGGTGAGAAGGTAGCGCGGGACACCTAATAGCTTTAGAAATCTTGGTGCCAGCCCCTCATTGGGTCGTTTGAGAACACCCAGTACCTTTGTCCCAATGAGCCTCCATTTTTGGGTTGCTCGGTTAAGCAGGACTCACAGTTCTGACCCTCACATCCCATATTCCCTCAGAACGGGGGTGGGGTGGGTGGGTCTGCTGTGTGATACAAGGGCGCTGGGAAAAGGCTACTTTGTCCCAGACACAGCTTTCTAACACTTCGGTGGGCACCGAGCCTGCTATTGGCCTGGTCACACGGGTCTGAACCCTTGAATGTTTCTACTGTGTCGAGATCCCACAGGAAAAGCAGAAACCGTCTGATTTGGCAGGCAGCCACCTCCGAAGGTTTTCTGTCTGAGGGCTTTTCCTCTTTGGCATCTTTGCTAAGGAGAGGCTTTGTCTTCCTTTGGAGGTGGGATGGACTTTGTGGTCCAGAGTCCTCCTTTGGAAAATCTACCTCTGCAAGAATTCTTTTTAAAAGAGAGAGGAGGGAGAAAATGCTGCCTCCCCCTTTACTGAGCTGTGCGTCACTCGCCAAAGAATTCCGCACTGATAGCAGCCCTGTGAATAGGGCACTCACAATGGACCGTGAGGAGCCAGAGCCCAACCGCAGGGCTCGCTGCTCTCAGGGCTCAGCTAGAATTATCGTGCCTTTTAGAAAGCAGGGCTTCAGAGGAACCCTTATCACCAGCCATCTGAATCAGCCATTTATTACTTCGGTGTTGCCCTTCTGAAATGATTTTTTTTTAAAAAAAAAAAATGCTGGCTTCTGTTTATACCGAGGGAAATGGAACCACAGACGTAATCAGCCTTGGCAATTTCACCCCAGAGGACGATGGGTCAAACTCTGAACCCTGAACCTGAGGCCTCTCCTTCAAAGGCTAAATGCCACTAGTCAGTACTCTATCGTTATCAGACATGGCTGGGCTTTCCAGGTCAAAGGTAGCACCCATCAGATCTAATTATTTGTTAAGTGGGCAGAATGGAACAGGAGGCAAATGGGTGATGAAATGCATTCTAGACCCATCAAAGTCCTCCCCATGAGGGAGGGTTGGGCAGACAGCAGGCTTGGATGTTACAACGACAAGGGAACCAAAGTACTGAGCTATTCAAAAGCTGTTAGCAGTAAGTAGAAGCTTAAGACGGAGTTGCTCAAGTGGGAACCCTCCCCTAAATACATGAAGCCAAAGAGTTTAAAACCACAGCAAGGCAGCAAGCAATAACCCCACAGAGAGCTGAGTGGAAATGGAAACGGTGCGGGTGTGTCTCATCACCAAAGCCTCCTGGCTCTAGGAAAGGGTGAGAGGACCGAAGAAAAGCCAAACCATTTCTACCTGGCTTCCTGGAGACTGTGGAGGCTTGGTAACAGGGTGGATCCCATCAGAGTGAGCTGCTGCATTGGACTGTGACAGCTCTCTCTTCTGATGCCTCAGACCCAGTCAGGGGCCTGAATAAGCCTGAGGTAGGTGGAAGCCTGTCAGTTGTTCATGTACCACATTAATGGCCAGTCTGGGAGAAGTAAGGGTACCGCCAACAGCACCCTTTTATTTGGGAGAAGGAAGTCTGTCTCCTTTCTCTTCAGGGAAAGCTGGAGATGAGAAAGCCAAGCTCCTCCCGAATTCTGCAGGCTAAGTGGCAGCACAGTCATAATTACCCAGCCTCCAAAGGTGGTGTCTTTTTAAGTACATGGAAAATGTCTGGGGAATGAACTTTCTATTACCTTTAAAGTCCCCAGCTAAGCAGGTACCACTGAAAACACCATGTGCTATTTTTCAAGACAGCTCAAAACTGAGGGGTCAGCTTGTTGGGCTAAAAAAATGCAGATTTGAGCTGGGCAGTAGTGATACATGCCTTTAATCTTAGGACTTGGGAGGCAGAAGCAGCCTGGTCTACAAAGGACATTCCAGGATAGCCATGGCTACACAGAGAAACCCTGTCTTGAAAAACAAACAAACAAATAAATAAGAATTAATTAATTAAAATAAAGAAGGAAAGGAAGGAAGGAAGGAGGAAAGAAAGAGGGAAGGGAAGAAAGGAAGGAAGAAAGAAAAAGGAAGGAAGGAAGGAAGGAGCCACAGATCTGAAACTGCTGTTGCCAGGATACCTGTGTTTCTCCAAAACCAGCTAAGAACATTCAAACTTATAATTGCAAGTGCCAGAATGAGGATTTCACAGGGAAGAAAAACAAGATGGTACCAGAATTCACTCTTCTGTAAACCATTTGGAGGTTACAGAAATCAGACCCAGCTGCGTTATTAGTTCTAAGTGTCCCTCACTGTGTCTGACTTTGTGCTTCCTGGCAGAGTATCTGAGCACTGAGAGCCAGTGGGTTATTCTCTGGGTCAGCAGGGTCAGCTGTGTAGGAGTGTGTGGCAGGAGTGTAGATGTCACATAACCTCTCATCCTCTGTAGCTTCTTTTACATACTCAAAGAGACCTTGAATGTGAAGCTAACTTGTGCCTGGCTTGGGGTGTGATTGATAAATGGGACCATATTGTTAGCATTACACCACCAAGTCACAGTTCTCAAAGAGAAAGAACTTTAGGCAAAAGAAAACCAATATCTGGACTAGGTACGGCCAGATATCACAAACTCTAGGGAGTCATGACCCAATAACACCTTGACTCGTTCTTGGTGCTGGAAATACTGTGACAGTTTATGGTAGACAATCTCCGGATGGGAAAGAAGGTTCTTGGAAAGTGACCTGTGTTGAATGCCTGTTTTCATAGACTATTCACAGTTCTCAAAAGTCTTCCCGTACTCCAGGCAAAGAGGAAAGCCAACTCTACGTGAACCCAGGAAAGCAAACTGGCGCACACTCAATCATACCGTTCTACTCTCGGTATCTCAGAACACAGCACACTGGAAAACAGGTGCCAGCGCATTTGCCCTGCAGCAAATGAATCTAGTTTATCTGCCTTCATGGTGTGTGTCGGGAGATCTCAAGCTGTCTGTCATTAGGCCCACTACTGCAGGCGTAGGAACATGGCTAACTTGAACCAAGAGGACAGGAGTGTTCTCGGAAGAACTGGGATGGGAGTTGAGAGTTATGAGCATCCCTAAGTGGGTTATAGAGTTCTTGGGGGGCGGGGGGAAGCTGGAGGTTACACTGAAAGGAAGGGCCTTTACCATCGACCACCACTGCTGTCAACAGGCCCCTCTTCTTGCTGCTCAGTCGGTCATGGGCTTGGCACTGCTGGTCCCGGAAGCTGGGCACACCCTTGGGGCAGGGCAGGTTCTCACAGGCGGCATGTTCTACGCTGGCACCCTGGCAGTGTGTGCCTCCAGGCCCAGGGCTAGAAGGAAGAAGATCTGTGTTAGCCAGCTGGCTGGTGGAAACAGCAGGGGGCGGTGAACTGTCGCTAGGAGATGGTGGGCAAGGTTTCCAGAGCAACTGGGTCTCTCCTCTAGACCACATCTGGGGAACCCCAGTCCCACACCAGAGGCATGATCACGTGAGTCAGAAGAAAATGTGCGCCAAAGGACTGGACGTAAAGATCATCTAAAAACAGGACATAGTAGTATAAGCTTGGCGAGACCGATATGCTTTATCTTCCATCTGAATTGAAGACTTGGTCATGTCTAACCTTGAATACCACCCCCCTCCCCAAATTTGGTACTTAAAAAGATTCATTAAAATGAAGATATTTTTAAAAACTCTTTGACATGTTCTAGAAGTTGTCAGGTTTGGGGAGGAAAGAGTAAATAGTTCTCATTTACTTTATAATAACTGGGGTGATTAATTCGCTCACACACAATCAGTCTCTGAATACTGGCCAGTTAAGTCCCAGCTCTGCCACCTTGATCAGGGCAAGTATGAGGTCAATACTGGGACCTGGATTCCTGGGTGTCATGTCTAGACTGACTGGCTGGTGAGCAGTTCTAGAGACGGGCTGTGTTCACTGGCAGAGCCCACATATCTAAGGTGCATCAAGGCAGAGAGACGGGATGCTGGCTGGGCTGGCCACAAGGATGCTTTGCTTAGCTTCTTTGAGAGGCCCCAAGGTGTCCTTGAGAGACTCTGACCTAGATAAGCTCAAGACTTCCACACGTCTCCATGGTAACAAGCTCAAGGCTTCCACCATCTCCTTGGTACCAAGGTCATGGTACAATAAAATGACTTGCTTTTCATTGAAATTCAACATAAAAGACAAAACTGTGGGCATTTACACACTCACATGCCTGTTACCTGCATTTTGTACTCTCAAACCAAGTATGGGAAAGTTTATTTCCCTCCCTCTGTCATTCATCATGTTCACAGGCCACCGTCTGATCATGCCTTTAGAGGAAAGACAGAAGAACCAAGAGTGGTATAGGTCTTTATAAAAGTCGACCCCAGAGATCAATGACCCTTTTCAGTTAATGACCATAGAGTAAGCAGTTTTGAGCCACACAGTGTACTGAGGCAACTGCTGTTGGTACAGAAGCAGCCACGGGTACAGCTCTGTCACAACAAAACTATAAAAACATGTGACAAAGTAGATGAGGCCACTGCTCCTGGTTTGCAAGGTTCCTTGGGAACAACATGCCAGGCAGAAAGAAAGGCCCATTACGGGTCCTGGTCAGCCTCGTAAATGCTGAATAGTTCCTTACCCTAGAGGAGAGAAAGTTGGGGAAATTATACAAACTGAAGGCCCTTCAAGGGGTCATGAGGCGGGCTCAAGTGAACAGATGGCCATTTGTTGTGGGAGTAACTTCCGCTGCCTCAACCAATAGTCGCTGAAATACGAGCCCACAGTGCAGCGGGGAGCGACTTCCGCTCCGTCAGCCAATAGTTGCTGAAATACCAGCCCACTGGGGCGTGGTATATTTCTCTTTTAAAAAGAGAAGCATATCCGGAATAGGCTCTCTTGGTTCCGGCTCTTGGTTCTGGTGCTTGCTCCTGGCTCCTGCTCCCGGCTCCTGCGACTAGGCTCCCTTCCTGACAGTTTATGGTGTATGTAAGTTTTACCCCCCGCCAAATAAATAACCCCTTAAAACATAACTGGTGTGGGATTGATTCGTTAATAGCCATTCCTTTAAAGGGTTGATGGTATCTGACAGGTGCACCTTGGGTTCTGTTTTCTGCCTAGAATGCCAGGCAGGTACCTCTCGGAGAATTGATGAAATGTGAGGTTAGACGTAAGCTCACACCATGTCCCCAAGGATGCTGGGATCAGGTAACCAGCACGCACAGGATGGATTTCTGTATCACAAAGCAATATAGAAGGATCAGAGAAGGACTGGGCCCCAAAGCCACACTTTCAAGGTAATAATAGGCAAGGTCCTATGACTGGGAACCAAGCGGGTATGCGCACTATGGCATGCATCTCCTGACAAGCTGTTCCAAGCTAAACCATGCCCCCCTCCCTTAAATTGTATGTTAAAATCCTACCCTGGCCCAGTGCCCCAGAATGGTAACGTCATTGGGAAATGGAGTCACTGCAAATGCAGTTAACTGAGATGGGGTTACAGGGGAGTATGGCAAAGGCTGCTGCTCCTAAGCCTGATGACCTACATTTGATCCCTGGAACCCGTATGGTAGGAGCAAGAGAACTGGTTCCTGCACGTTATCCTCTGACCTCTGCACTGGCACCCTCACACATGCACACATACACACACTAAATACATATGAAACATTAAAAGGGTTTTTTTTTATATAGACAGCTGCACACAAAAAACTCTATGAGAGGAGGGAAACAGAGATCTTGGTCAAGCTCCTATACCCCAAGGGACACCAGATAGTCCCATCACGTCACTAGAAGCTAGGAGAGAGGGACCAACCATGCTGGCTCCTTGATCTTGGACTTCTAGCTTTGCAAACTATGAGAAAAAAAAATCTGTTGTTTAAGATCCGTATGAGTATGTTGCAGTACCCCTAGCAGGCTCTCATAGAGGCACCCCAAGCACCAAATGATGTAAGAGACCTCCTAGATGCTGAACCCCGGCAGCCGCAGCCCATTGTATCAGATGTGTGCTTGAAATGCCTGTCTCATGCGTATCGTCTCCCAGAACAGAATTCCTTTCCTCCTCCCTTCCAGCTCCCTGCCTCCTGCCCTCTTATTCCCTATCTGTCATTGAGGCCACTTCCATGTGACCTTCCTTTCCATCTGAAATTCTCAACCTCTTGTTTGGGCCTCTGTTATGCTGTGTAATATTAATCAGGCTTGAGGAATGGTGAGCTGAGCCCCTTCTTCAGGCCCTTCGCTACCGGTCTCTGACAGAGCCTGGAGCGGACCTCAATAAACAGTGGATTGAACTGAGCTAAGGACATGAAGGTGAGGAGCAGGGAAGTCGATTGGAAAAGCTTGGAAAATCCCTGAAGTCCATGTTACCCGTTGGGGTCTTCAGTCTTCAGTAACGTCAGTTTGTGTCTGCACCTCAGACTGAACTAAGCACATCATGAGTGATCACTTTAGAAGGACAGGCATGAGGGTGGGGGAAGGGGAGGAGGAGGAGGAGAAACGAGAGGTGGAGAGCAGGAGAGGTCAGTGTGGGAGGTGCCAGGAATCTTCCTGGTGCGGGAGAATTGTCTGTATTCTGTCAATCATATTTTAATAAAACGCTGATTGGCCAGGCAGGCAGTATAGGCGGGAAAGCCAGACAGGAAGTAGGGGTGGAGCAAAGAGACTGGGAGTATTCTGGAAGCAGAAGCTCTCTCTCAGCTTTTCCTGCGCAGATCACTGAAGAAGCAACATGTAAGCTGCCCCTGCTGGAAAAGGTACTGAGCCATTATGGCTAACATAGATGAGAATAATGGGTTAATATAAGTTATAAGAGTTAACAAGAAGCCTGACCTAATGAGCCAATCAGTTTATAACCTTATGGAGTCCTGTGTGTGATTTCCTTTGTTGCTTGCCGGCTGTTGGGGTACTGGGCTGGACAGATACCTCAACAAGCCGGCCCCTCATGTTACATCTTCCTACATCCATGACACAGGAACCTGTCTCTACCTAGACAGCTAAAACTGCCATCGATAACCATTTTGAAATGTGGGAGTGTATGTCAAAGCTTGTAGGTTCCTGGCTGGTAAACTGTAGCTCACTGTGGTCCACTTCATCCTTTAGTGTGATGGAAGCTAATATCCATCTTCCATGGGTCCCTCAGGGTCTTGACTATCTCTCCCAAGGAGCAAGAAAAGCCTTGATTAAAAATAATTAGAATTGTTATACTATCAACATGGGAAAAGAAGAAGACTGACCAGCTAGTTACATGGTCCACTACCCAGGTAATCCCTCCACCACATGTGGCAGGATCACACAGCCCCCGACTCTTCATGTTCAGCTCCTCAATACGGTGGTTTCTCAACTCACAGTTTTGCTTCCTGTTGTTTCACTTATGACAATCAAACATGGTCTAAAAATATAAAATGGGAAATGCCAGGAATAAATTATTCATAAGTTTTTAATGCCTTTATTATGGCAAATAGTTATGATTATTTTGTTTACCATGGTTATTAACCTCTTCCTGTGCCTAAATTTAATATATTATATGAGCCTATAATATATGTCTAGGAAGAAGCATAGCATGTATATATTTTGATATTACTCATGGTTTCAGTATCCCAATAAATAAGAGGGGTGGCAACCACAGAAACTATCTAGACCTAACCAGGACACTGAAGTGACCCTCCTGCATGTATAGTGATTCTGTAACCATTAGAAAAGCACATCCTTCACGCATGGCATAGATAGACAGAAAGAGTGGTTATGGGAGGGTGTGGCTGGGCAGAGTCTGTAAACAGCTTCCTGACTGAAGTTCTGTGGAGTATGAAGCAGGTGTGACTGGGTTTACAAAGCATCCCATGCTGGGTTGCCTGGATGAAACCTGAGTCAGAGATATAGCGGCTTGGACTTTGGGAGCTGTTTTGCTGGGTCAGCGAGGGCAGAGAGGGAGGAGAGGCTGGATCCACATGCAATGGGTGTGAAGCAGAGGGCTGGGACTCTTGTTCACCCTGGAGGTCCTCTGAAGCTAATTCAGGGTGGATAAAACCAAAACACATCCAGGAAGATTAAAACAACAAAAACCCAGCACGGCAACCTGACACGGCAACCAGGAGGAGAGTAAAAATATCAGAGGTCATAATAGGATAGGCATTCCCTTTGCGAGCGGATAGCGGGCCCACATCCTTTAACTAGGCTGTGTGGCAGGGAGGTTCCAGCAAGTTGAAATCTTCCCCTAAAGTAAGGACCTGAGGATACACTGAAAACAGTCAGAGCAGAAATCAGAAATTCTTGACCATGTCCTTCAGATGCAGAAACCAAAGATCCAGTCGGGAAGGGACAACTACTTAGCAGTGTGAGTTACGGATGGTAAC